TGAGCTTGTATGAGCGATGCAATCTGCAACTTTTAAACAGCATGCACAAGGAGAAATTGGCTCTGCATGCTCTCACACGCATTTAATAGGCGTTCCCTCTCGGGAGCGGGTACAGAGTTGTGCATGTGCAAATTTTTTTTTTTTTTAAGTGGAGAGGGTGGGTCTTTTCAAAATAATTGCGAAAATCCTCCACTATACCTATAAGTTTAGCAGAAGCTGTGGTGGACCTTTTAACTCTTGGTTTCCTTTAAACAGAGTCCATGGACTTCTCTGGGATGTCTCTCATCAAGTTGAAAAAAGAGGAAATGGAGTCACAGGTAAGTTGTTGCTTCTCATGAGTTGTTGTTCTGTAAACTATTCTAAGATGAATTTGTTTGAAAAGTCTAGGTAGTTGTTTTAAGGGATTATTTTGGACATGAAGCAAAATTATTGATACAATTAAATATAAAAAAGCTTTTTTTCCCTTCTTTTAAATAGATAAGGATCTCAAACAATGTTTTAAAAAAAATTTCTTCTGCTAATCAGGTCAAAGTGCTGGAACTGGAGAGTCAGCTAGAGAACGAGCGTCTGCGGCTGGGTGAGCTCAGGAAGAAACACTACAACCTGGCCGGAGTTCCTCTGGACCCGGTTTCCGAGCAGAACGGTGACAGCCCATCGCTGGATAATACTCCTCGTTCTCTCACCGCGTCCCCGAAACCCAGAAAGCCCCCGCTCGGAAGGAAACCCACACTCACTCAAAAACCCAGCATACCATCTAAACCTTCGGTTAGTGTGATTTTAAAAAAAAAACATCAAAATAAGAAAAAAAGCAAACATGACTGGTAACGACATATTTCTTCTTTCTCATGTTGCAGTTTAAGTAAATGCAGAAGATGGGAATGCTTCACTGCACAATGACTGGATAGAGAAGAGAAGCAGAAAGCCCTTTTTTGTGAATATGCAGCTCTTTTTAGTTGCATACAGAAAGTAGGGTGTCAACCTTCTTCTTGTCAATTTTCTTTAATTCCATTCCTTTTTCCTTATTTGTTTGCCATAATGACCCAAAAGCCTTTTTTTTTTTAACTCTTAATGCATGTAGGGAATTCTGTGTATCCCCATTCTTCCTTATATTTTTAATGTTTGATATTAAAAACATTTTATTGTAGGCATTTTTTAAATTATTTTCTGTATCATAAACAGTTTGAAAATTGCACCAACTGCTCCTTTTTTTTTCTAGAATGTAAACTTCAATCTAGCGCACAAATCAGCAGCATATCTTGTAGACGAAGAGCCAGATTTGATCATGTTTATGGCAGCCTTATTGCACACTCTCAGATCACATTGTTTTCTTGTTATTCTCTGTTTGGTATTATTTATCTTTTGATGTTGGTTGATGGCGGTTTGGGAATCACTTGGTGTGTTCATGTTGTTGCAGAAGTCTAACATACCTCTAGCTTTGCCTTGATGTTTAAATTTGCAGGTTTTTTGTTGTTTCTTAACTGGACAAGTTTGTACCAGATGCCTTTGAATAATACTTTATAAATGCATTCAATATTGCCTGTAAAGATATGCAGTCTGTACAGGAGACCTCTACTTACACACTACACTTACTGTATCTCATGAATGTCCCTTTACAAGAGGAGGATGGAGATATAATAGATAAACCTAAGGGTTGCACATATCAGCTGTAGGTGTCCTTATTAAACGCTTCTTCAATGCTGAATATCTATATTTAGTTGAGTGTCTTTTGAATTTAGGAGCGTTTCCTACAAGGTTTTAAAACAGTTTTTTTTGTTTTGGTCCCTACTTAGTCTTTTTACTCTCAGATCTATTAATATATATTTTAGTAAAGATGCTGGTGTTTTTTTTTTTCTTGTAAGAAGTTTAAATGTCATGAACACACAATAAATGATCAATTTGATTACGTTTTTGTGTTTATTACAAAATTGCACTTCACAAACTTTTGGTTTTTGGTGAATATTTTTAGCAGAAAAGTAAGCTTAAAAATACTCAAATGTAAACATATGTTCAGTTATATTTTTTTAGTGGCAGATTAATTACTCTAATATCTGTTGCGATATAGAACATTTAGTTATTTATCTCCAACATGCATGATCACATGAATCGAAATTGTCATTTTAAAATGCAGATGATTTTCAGTAAATTATTCCCTTAATTCAGTTAATTTTAAAATTCTCTTATAGAGAATTATTAAATGAAAGTTATATATTTTTATAGAATTATTTCTGTTTATGATGTTAATAATCTCTTAGACTTAGACTCAACTTTACTTATCCCTTGGGATTACTCCTTCAGGGAAAGTCTGGTTCCAGTAGCTCATATAGAATACAAAAGGCAGAGTTAAAGCAACATACCATTAAAAATAAAAATACGACAATATAAAAAGAGTGCATATAATACAAAAGAGCATAAGAAAAGTTTTATTGTCCTCGAATATGTTTCCTTTAGAAACAAAAATATCTGCACAGTAGAGCTAAGGGAAGACTACATAATAGTTGACTTGGATTATCGCACTTGTACTGCAGAAATGTACTGACCATATAGATCATTAAAAACATTACACAGGCTACACAGTAGTTGGCATGTGTTATTGCACAGTTAGAGAAGAATATTGCACATGAGAGACAATAGCTAATATTTTGCACAAGATGTCCGGAGGGGGGGGTACATTTTAAGAAACCCAAAGTTTGGTTTAAAAAAATAAAATACTGAAGTGTTTGGGGGTTTCTTTCCTACAGAAATGTCAAAGTATACTCACATGCTGTACAGTACAGAGTTATTGGTTCAATGTGACATGGCATAGAGGAGATCAGCCTATGACAATGATAAGCTTTTAAAGGGGCAAGTGTTTTGGAATGTACCCATGATTTTACAGGTAAGTTATTACAACATTTGGTAAAAAGACCTCCTTAACACTAGAACTACCAGGATTTTTCTGCCTACCTGGAACTACCAGAGAGGGGTCAATTGACCCGGAAAAATCCACTAAAAACTACACTAAAAGCTTGCCTTAGGGTTCCCTTCCCCACACAGGCTCAAGCGACTCTGTGACAGCTATGAGCTGCTAACAGCCACATTTCCACAACAAAAGGAGTTTCCGCAGGAGGTCCAAAGGTCAAATGACCCTCTTGTAGGGCTTTTCGGTAAAAGGGACAATTGACCCCTCCGTAGTAGTTCTAGTGTTAAGGAAGCCCAGGCAGCTTCAAAAGGAACCTCAGAGATTTAGTCCAGTTTTGACCAATCAAGCACAATGATACATCTGTGGGGGGGTTCTGAAAGCTTTGACAGTCAGAGCCAAAGTCCTGTAGTTTTCCCAAAGGTACTTAAATGGGTTTGTTTCCCAATCCTCTCAGGGCAGTGGTTATCCCTCTTGCTAATTTACTTTTTTCTTCCACTCAACTTTCTAATAATATTCTCAGATATAGCACTGACCAAAGAGTCAGTTTCTATATGGCAATTATAGCATTACTTCATGTTTTTTATTTATTTGTAACTGTATGATTTTCTAATATAAATATATAATGAAATCATCCCATGTAATGTTATAAATTGTGTGTATATTATCAGATTCGCTCCTAATAGTTTTTAATAGTGTTTGAATGTAGAGTTGTATTAAATACAAATAGTTTCTCAGAAGTAGGCTACCTTTTTAAAGTAAAACTATTTAAGTATTAAAAATGTGTTCAATTTTCTGATGTATTTCCTTAAATGCTGTGTTTTCCTTAGTTGTAAGCTTATAATCGTTAACATAAAATTACTCCTGTCTGTTTTTACTTTATATTATGTGTTTTACACAATACGTCTAGTAATTGAAATAAATTAACTTTTTAATAATATTCTGCCTTGTTGAATGGATCTCTGATATGTTTTTGGTTTTTGTTTTTGTCCCATATTTAAATATATATATGGAACTTATACATATGGAAATTATATATTTATAATATTTATAGTTATATAGTATTTATTTTGTTTTTCAAATAGTAACCTTTTTTGATTTGCACATTCATGTGCAGACATGTTTTGGTGGGTGACATTGACAGATGATTGATGGGCTTTTAGAGTTATATAGTCATGTCTTCACATGCGCAGTAGTTTCTTGTGCTTAATTTGGAAGGAGAAGTTGTGTCTTTAGAGCCAGTAGTAAAAATTAAAACTTGTGCAAATTTAACAGAGTTTGTGATTTAAAAACAAAAGAAAAGTTTCGTCCCCTCAAACTATTGTAACATCACTATTTTAGAGTTTGGTGCTGGTTGAATTATTAGGCTGAATGTACAGTAGAAACCTGAAATATAATTATGTTTTCCCTTTGTTAAAGGGATTAATTAAAAACAAAACAAAAAAACGTTTTTAATGCCTTCTTAGTTGTGCACGTTCACAATTTAGCTCAACTGAGTAAGCGGGTTAGTAAAATACAACCCATTACTGAGGAGAACATGGTAATACAACGCTTTGATATTCTAAAACTGAAATTTCCGAGTTTTCGCTTTGACTCAAATGCAGCAGCAGCAGAAGAGGCGCTGCAGACTTTGATGAAATTCAAACTGTCAACAAACTCCCCCAAGTTTCTCCTGCGTTGCTTTACGCTTCACGTTTCTTGCCTTAACTTATTTTGTTTGTTTTTTCCCCCACATAGTCCGATGAATGTGTTGTTTTCAACAGAGATATGTTGGATTTCGGGGGTTTAAATAAAGAGCCCGGGATAAACAGAGAGCCGCGTTATGTCAGCGTTGGACAGACCTGCGGCGGAGCTCACCGTCATGGACGTCTACGACATCGCGGCGGTGCTCGGCCAGGAATTTGAGCGGGTCATAGACAGGTTCGGGTGCGAGTGTCTGGTCGGGGTGGTGCCCCGAGTGGTGCGGGTTCTGGAGGTCCTGGAGGTCCTGGTGGGCCGCGGGGCTGCCAGACAGGAGACAGAGGAGCTGCGCGGGGAGCTGGACAGGCTGCGGCGGGAGAGGAGCGACAGATACCAGCAGGAGAGGAAGCAGCAGGAGGTCCGAGCTGCTGATTAAAGGCCCGCATGTCGCATCTGACTGTTCAATAACAAACCTGAATGCATTTTAAATTTGTATGTCATAGACCAAGTAGCAGAGAAAGAGAACATTATTAACATTTCACCTAAATTAAAAGTTGGATTACATGTTGTTAACAGCTATTTGAGGAATGCTGACAAAGAAGTCATATCCCTCAAATGTAAACTGTTAATTTCAGCCTGAAAATATGCAACAAAATGGGCCTAAATGAAGAACAGCTCCACAGTGATCAGGTCTTGGTAGGTTACATGTGTAAATATAATACAAACGTGTTTTTAAATAGTTTTTGCAGAAGCTACCTAACCTATTTGTGATAAAATAAATCTTTAACTTGCCCCCTGCAGTAATCAACAATCCTTTAGGGGTGAAGACCCCCATGCCGTGGATGATCCATGAGATCCAATAACCTACCTGTTGGTCCAGGACACCACCCTTTGAGAATACCAGCTCTACACAGCCTGAGACTGGTTTTTATTGCAGACCTGCAACTATTGATGGTTTCAGGTTTTTAACTGGGATTTTTTCCTTTTTAGTGTAAAATAGATACTTTTTTAAACAACCTACCTTAGTAAAAAAAAAAAAAGAAGAAGAAGAAGAAAAAGAAAACACAAAAAAATTTTCAGAGTTACCACTTAGAAGTTCTGGATAGATCAAATTACATCTTTTGGCCTAATTGTTGCCCTTAGTGGGGTATTCTTTCAGCAAATGGTGTGTTTTAAAGTCTGTGAATTCCAGATAATGGTGACTGGATTATTATAAGGGTCATTGATCATGAATAATCCAATGAATTGTTTCAGATCTATTTTATCGTTAATTCTTGTTTTAAATAAGTTCCAACTCTCTCAGATTTAATTGATATCCTCTTTGAAGATAGCAGCATCTTCCAATATTTCCTCTACATAGCCTACTTTTTTTGGGCAAACTGAAAGCATGACTTCTTATAACTTTGTTCACAAATTGCTTTCTTCTTACGTGTGGCATCCATATAGGACACATTTGTGGATAACAAATAATAGTTGTTTTAACAGATTCTCCTCTATTGCTGTAGATTTAAAAAATTTGACCTGAGCAGAGCAGCTTACAAATGTTGCTACTTTAGATTTTTGAATGATCAATTGAATAGTGACCATGATTTATTTAATGTCTGGAATTAATCATATTTGTTTCATGAAGGAGTAAAAGGATTATGCAGATGACAAATATTTTTTACACAGCTTTGGAATTTTTTGTGACGAGTAAAAGAACTTTGGATACCAGATGATAACCATAATCCTCCTTTCTTTGATTATTTTTTTTAATTCAATATAGAGCTTCACAATATATTCAGTTACAATGGGCATTGCAAAAATCTACAGTACTACTGCAGTTCCCTTTCTTTTAGGTGATGCCAATTACTGCTGCTGTGCATGCATCTCCACAATCCTGCCCCAAAGTCATACTTAACCGACCCAATCATTCCACAACTGATATTACTGCTCTAAAGATGTGATTGATCTACTGTTTTTAATTTCATGTTTCTCCTGTAATATCTGTGATCAGCAATTGGAGCAGGTAGAGGATGTTTGGAGGGGAGAAGTCCAGGATCTGCTGTCTCAAGTCGCTCGGCTTCAGGCAGAGAACAAGAGGTTAAAAGTTAACCTCTCGCTGAAAGAGTCCCCCACTACCGAGGACGACCTCCAGAAACACGAAGGTAGGTGGTGTGGGACTGAAACTCCTCTCTGCAACTATGAACAGATTAATTATTGGCAATGATGTGACCAGTAAAGAGAAATTAGGTTGGTTTAATAAAAAGAAACGGGTGCATTCATGTGTATCAAATAAGAACATGAAACTCGTCTTTTCAGGATGTCCATCCAAGCGTCTTGTTGGAAAGTTAAGTGGAAGGAAAAATGTTGGAGGAAAACATTAGGGATAACTTCAGACTTGAGATTATTGTGAAGCAAAGTCCGTACATGGATTTTTGAGAAGAGTTTAAAGCAACCTGGACTTGTTTAATACTTTACTTTTGCCAAAGCCTGCTCACCTCCATGCCGTGCTGCCTTAATGTAGTAATTCAAGTAAAAGGTGCCCTGACCAATTACTGAGGGCGGAATAAAACACAATACAGCTGAATTACTAGAATAAGTTCACTATTAAATTATTTTTAAATCTATTGAGATGCACCTATCTCTCAATATAAGTTTTTGGCAGAAAAATGTAAAATAACATAGAAATAATAGAAATCTACAAAGATGTCTGGTTTAATATCCTCTGACCTGAACATTTTAAACAAACCAAAGCCTTCCTGAAACCTGAACACAAACAAGAAAATTATCTGTATCTTTTAACCATAAATATGTTTTCTTCTCCTGACGGGTCAGTAAATGGGTTTATCCCGAATGAATCTTTTGAACAGTCCTAATTACAAAGACTGATTTGAATCCTTGTGTTGCACAAATGCACAAAAGGTATAAAGTAATTTTGGTTGTTTAATCACAAACATTCTGTTAAAAAATTATTCATTCTGAAACTCATTTTGCAAATCCAGCGTGTCAGCAGAAAGAAAAACGTGCATAAATAAATACATTATAAGGTTTATTTGGATTAAGTTTGTTTTACTTAAGACAGTATCCTACATGTTACCTTGAGTTTTACTGGAGTGACTTTCAGATGCAAAACATTTTGAGTGATTGGGGGAAATGGGACCATATTTTTATATAAATGATGTTTTTTTGTTGTTTTTTTTATTAGGTTTTGGAATATTGTTGTTTCTGGATCATTTCAAATGATTCCCTTGGTTCAGCTGTCAAAAACTGGGTCAATTTTAACCTCCAAAATTTTATTCCATCTTGTTTTCAATCTTTTGTGTTTCTGGAGTGGAGGTGGTTTGCCATGTGCTTTTTCCTTTGGACAGGAAAGTGAGTTATTGTTGGACTAAACAAGAAATGAATCGACATCTCTTGATCGACCCCATTTGAAAATATCAAAGTCTGCCTCCTGTTAATGGAGTAATATACATGTTTGTAAGCTGACCTCTATGTAGGCAATGAAGACACCGGCAGGAGCTTGTTAAGGAGACTATTTTTGAAGCAGTAGAAAATATAACTCTTGTGTGAGAATCTTTGCAAGTGCAGCTGTCCTTGCAGTCTTGACTGCAGCCCTCGCTTCAACTCTCGCACTTTATATTGCAGTCGTATAATTCATTAGGTAGGTTCTGCAGGACTGGACCACCAGACCCACTCCAGTATGGTATAAAAGAGATAATCTAAATGGATCTTATATAGCTGTAACCTAAACTAACTTCTAGAAGCATCTTTGATGGTACAATTAGGGCTGGTTTAGGCATATATCTGTTGGGATTACTTATTTTTTATTTGTGTTTTACAGATTATGTTTCTTTTTCCATTAAAGCAGGGAAGTCAAAGAAGGAAAGCCAAGCAATACTGAAGCTGAAAGACTTGGTGGAGAAACAGAGAGATGAGATCCGAGCAAAAGACCACGAGCTTACACTAAGAAACGAGGATGTTGAAGCGGTGAGGATTTAATCTACGCACATTTCAGTTCCATCTCTGGCTAGAATTAAATATAGTAAGACGCTGTCTCTTTAAAACAGCTTCAGTTGCAGCAGCATCGCCTCATCAGAATCAACCAGGACCTTCTTCACAGGACCGGAGTGATGGAGGCTCAGGGGAAGGCGCTGATCCACCAGAGAGCCGAGCTGGAGGCTGCTGCCCAAGCACAGCAGCAGGAGTTCACCGCTCTCCAGCTGGAGGTCAGAAGGCTGAGGAAGGAGCTCAAGGAGAAGGAACTAGAAAGAGAACTGGCAGAGATAGTTTCCCCTCTTGGAACAAGATCAGGGACCCCTTCGCCAATATCAGCATCAATGAAAGTAAGAGAACTAATATGTATCCCTGAATTCAACATTTAAACTCTATCAGGATGTTCGTTAGCTCAGATACCCAAATCTACTTTGCAGTTTTTCACTTGCCAGATCAGGAGGAACATCAAACATGTAGGAAATGTTCTTGCATAAGATAAGGCCAAAAACTTCCACAGAAAATCACCCTGGAAACACCCAAAAGCTGAAACATGGTGGTTTGGATCCAGGATGCCCAACTCCACTCCTAAGGCCTGGTGACCTGTAGGTTTCACTATGGTTCAAAACCTGAATACGATCAAGTAAAATGATAAAATCAAATACAAACAGCATTAAAATAAAACAACAAGCCGGTCCCATCTAGGTGTAATCTGAGAAAATGACAGACGAAGTGTGCTCCTGATGTCCAGTCTGCTCCGTAGCTTTGTTTTGGTCGCTGTAACCACAGAAAATCCCGCTTCACAAAGATAGGATGTTATAGATAGGATGAGTCTTGAACTGAATTAACCTGTGTCAAGAGGCACAGATGCACGACTGATGTAATTGGGAGAGAATACAGCAATTTTTTATATTTTTCAAAATAAAACATCACTCAGACTCTGATCGCCAATAATTATATATATATATATATATATATATATATATATATATATATATATATATATATATATATATATATATATTAGGGATGGGACGATTTATGAAAACCGTCCGCACCGTTCGGTTCGACTGTCTCGGTTCGGTTCGCGTGTGTTTCGTTCGGTTCATGCGCTGCTCCTTTTTCTCATAGGCGAAGTGTGTACACTCCAGAGCAGAAGGTGGTGGTACTGCGACCAAAGCCAACCACCAGTACTAAACAAGAAGAAGAAGAAGCGAAGCAGCTTAGCCGGGTGTAGCAGGGGAAAAAAATCAGTTGTTGTGGAGAATTGTGTGGCGAGTGGGAAAGAACAGGAGTTGGAAGACGCGCCAGCAGCACTTTATAGGTCTGCTGTATGGGACCACTTTGCATTTAGAGTGACCTATGATGACGGCGGAAAGAAAGTTGTGGATAAAAGTGCAACAGTGTGCAAGCATTGTGCAACACGTTTTGTTTATTCTAACAGCAACATGTCATGCTAACCCCGAAATCCCTCATACTCCGTCAGCAACCCCCGCTGCGCTCCAGACCGGCTGCTCAAAGCAAAGCCTACAGCCTCCACTCTGGCTCCCGTCCGCTCCGCTCTGAGTTCCTTGGAGATCGTAGAGGGCATGCGCGAGATGATTAAATTCAAAGCAGCAAAACATACGGAAATGATTCAGGGTTTCCGCGGATCATTTAAAATAATTACAATCCATTATTTTTTGGGGGATTTTTTTCATTAATTTCACAAATTTTTATGGGATTTCGGTGTAACAATCAACATATATCGAATCGAACCGAACCGAAAACCGTGACCAGAAACCGTGAATCGCACCAAACCGTGGATTTTGTGAACCGTTCCACCCCTAATATATATATATATATATATATATATATATATATATATATATATATATATATATATATATATATATATATATAGTTGAAGAGCCATACACCATAAGACCTTTAGTTGTAATTGCAGCAAAAGGTGATTGTATTGGGTATTTGTGATTGCCTAGTGGTTAGAGCAGTGCGCTTATGCTCTGAGAAGCTTGCAAGAATCTGGTTCGATCACCACAGCCTCCACTCTGGGTATCTCAGCAAGACCCTTAACTCCAAACAGCCCACTGCTCCTCAAGGGGATGTTTTAATTACAGAGGTAAATTTCTCCAGTGTGAGATCAATAAAGTTCAATTATTATCATTCCACCCCACAGTTACAAAATGCTTTGCTCTGTTCTGTCACACAAAAAGTCCAGGTAAACCAAAAAATCCATGTTTGCTATTGTAATGTGACTAGATATGTTTACTCAGGCACTGGAATCAACTGTTGTTTGTTCCACATCCAGACTGCAGGGACTTCCATGTCTGACTGTGACAAACCAAGATCAGTGTGGGTGGAGTGTGGAGGAGATCCCAGCTTTGTGGAAAAGTGCCTGCAGTGTGACAAGAGCCTTTCCCTTCTGACGTCAGAAAATAGAACGAATGAGAAAGAGCTTCCTGGAGGAGAAAACACTGCAGCACATTTGCTGGTAAAATCTTCTTTCGGGTTCAGTTAAGATAATCACTCTCTGTGTCTATGTTTTTATCAAGCATGCATATTTTATCTTGTTTAATGCTTAGATTGCATCATTTTTTATTGTAACTAGCTTTGCAAGGGTGAAGCAGCATATCTTTTTTTTTAGGCATGTCTGTTGTCATGGTATTAGCATCTCCAAGACAACCCAGGTTATCATTTCTACTGCCTGGCTGTTCAGAGGCCCTGTCAACCAACCAGCTTTGTTATTGATGTTAATGGTGCACAGCAGAAAGGCTAAATGTGTGTTTTACTGCAGGATCACTCAGCTTATGCTGAGTCAGAGGATGAGACGGATGGCTCTGAACAGGATGCAGACAAACCTCGTTTCACCTTACAGGAGCTGCAGGATGTCCTGCAGGAGAGAAATGAACTCAAAGCCCAGGTGTTCCTGCTCCAGGAAGAGTTAGCGTATTACAAGAGGTGAGATTTGCTTTGCAATCTTGCAATTACGCTCTGGATGGTTTAGAAAGCATTTGATTTTAAAGCTAACCTTGTCTTTATTGCTTTAGTGAGGAGTTTGAAGAAGACATCAGCACTACTGCCTCTCCTCTTAATACTCCATCACATCCCACTTCTGCTGATCAGCCTGAATCAGGAATAAGACGCTTGTAAGTAATGAGATTGTTTTTTTTAAGCCCATTTATGCTTTTGATCTACAGAACTGAGTTTACTATGAATGGCAACAAATCCATAAAGACTAAAAACATCTCTTTTACCTTTTTCCTCTCCATTCTTTCCATTTCACTTTCTGGACAGGATCTTCACTGCCATAATGCCGATGGTGGCTGCTGGTTTAATCACAGACGATCCCACCTTGTTGCCAATCAGGAGACTTGTTTCCTTCGTATGAATGTTTTCATGCAAAATATTTATTTTACAATTCATCTCGACACAAAAATGATTTTATTTGGGAAAAATGGCTCTGAACTGGATTTTTGATTATACTAGAAATGGGGCAGTATTCTTATTACAGCATGATTTTAATCCAAAATATTAAAATTGATGTAATTCCTTTTCCGTAAAACAGAAATGCATTAAGTTTTCCTTCTCAAGAGACAATTTGATGTCTCTATATGTTCCTTGCTTTTGGAGAACACATAAACACTTTTAAGGCATCTCATTAAATGGGTTTTAATTCACAATTGTGCTATGCCAAAAATAAATTTTGCTAGTTTAAAAGTAAAGTTTTTATAACCTTTGTTTGCCTTATTATCAATAACCAGCCCCTGCCCTGTTTCTGAATTTAAAGTCAACATGAATTACAGAGTCACTTTTTAAATGTTTTGGTTTAACTTACGGCCAACTTGGCAATACTTTAAATGAATCCAAATACTTTACAATTGAGCATTTTGTAGATTACAGTTTGAGTTCTCTCATACTTTAATTTTTTTTACATGCATTATCTGAATTATGTCACAAATTGCTCTGGGAAAAGTTTACTGGATGATTTATGATTTTAAAACAATTGAAATGTTAAAATTATCATATTTAAGTGATGCTGCAGTTTCCTCCAACAAACCACTTGAATGCTGTACAATTAATAATTATAAAATTATATGTAGCATTTGATGTCTGCTTTGGAGAACGTGTAAATTGATGTCCTTGTGAATAAAGTAAATAAAGGTTTATTTTTAGTATTTTATACGTTTGTTAAATACATCCACATTCATTTGACTTTATAACGATCTAAATCATGTATGGCTGTTATAGATTTGCATTTAGAAAACAGTACTATATATCTTTTTGAAATTCCTGACTAAATAATTTCTCTCTGAAACAGGCGTAGCTGGAAAAGTTTTATAAGGGTGGCCAGGCAATAACCAATGTACACTGAGGGGGGGCCAAAAAGTGGATAGGCACCACAACCTCAGTGTCAATCAACACTGTTCCAACAGGAACAAGCACAACATCCATATTCCTAACTAAAGACAAACTATAGTTTCCTACAGCCTTTGCTAACAAATAGATGCATATATTTAAACATCCGTCTAGATAAAAGGTATATTGGATAAAATTCTTTGAGGTTTGAGTTCTGGAACGAACATCTTTTCCATCGTCATTACTTACCTACTTTTATCAATATTCTACATTAAATTGATATTTACAGGTACTAATATCTACATAAATTGATAATTTAATAGGTTTTTGTTAAAATAGTTATTTACAGTGTCTATGATTTCACTGAAGACTCTTAGATGACTTGCTAACATTTTCTCTTTACGGCATATAACACAAAATCTAGTTCTGAAAGGGCATGAATTCTGTACTAATCATCTCTAATGTTGGTATATTGATGTGCATAATTAACCACAGTGGTTTTGTTGTCAAGTAATTGTTAATATATATAAATTTAAAATGTTTTTAATATTCTACTTGAGAGAAAAAAATGGTAGGGGTGGCCAATGATTGGCTAGGGGTGGGCATGACCACCCCTGCCCCCCCATCTGGCCCCGCCCGTGCTCTGGGAGGCAATTAATGTCGCAAACATGAAAACACGTGATTCATCACTTGATTTTGACAGTTCAAAACAGTTCTGGATTGCAGAGAGAACAGATGTTCAAGAAGATGTGTCCTTTTTTCTTTATTGAAATAAATGAACTCCGTTTAGGATTTGATCGTGCGCGAGGGAGCGGTTTTACACAGACGATCTTTGAACACACCTGTCGCTAGGATACTTTGCCCTCCTCTGCCGTCACGCTATTGGAGGATGAGTGATGGGGGAAGTGCTGCCCCGCTGGAAGTTTGTTACCTTCGTTTCGGAAAAAGATCCAGAGTCAACAAACTGAGAGGAATCGTTCTGTTTAGAACTTCGAGTGTGAGATTGTGTTTAAAAAGTTACTTTATTTAAGGAGTTTGTCTGTGTTGTAATGGAGTTTGGTGAAGAGTCGTCGCCTGCTCTGGCCTTTGAGAAGAACGCCTTTGAGCTCACTGTCGAAGATGTCTATGACATTTCATACGTGATCGGCCGAGATTTGTTAAAAATCAGCAGCACCGGTGAGGAAGTGTCGGATTTACAGTTCAGGATAGTCCGGGTCCTCGAGATGTTTGAAACTTTGGTGAATAAGTACAATCTGTCAGTGGAGGAGCTGAAAATGGAGCGAGACAACCTGAAGGCAGAGCTGGACAGGATCATCAAGGAGGGCTCTCCTTCCTCCGGACATGGCGCGGTGAGCCTCATCCCGCGGCTCCAGCTCATGTTTGGGACACACGTAGAGAGGCTTTAACGGTTTCTCCTCCTCTCCCAGCAGCAAACGGGAGCAAATCAGGTGGTGGTGGACTTGAATGATCCGAACAGACCGCGCTTCACCATGCAGGAGCTGAAGGAGGTGCTACAGGAGAGGAACCAGCTGAAGGCTCAGCTCATGGTGGCTCAGGAGGAGATCCAGCTATACAAGAGGTCACCTCACAGGATACTCACTGTCACCTCTTCTCCACCATTGCAGGATCATCACTTACTGTTGATTTGCATTGAACCACCCTGAAACACAGCTGGTATCAGTTTGGTAAAGAGCTGCAAAAACAGATTAAATTCTTACAGTATGTTATTATAATACCAGAAGAGTAATAATACATTTAAAGTGAAATTACATTGTTATCCCCAAAGAGGGGAAACTATTATTGTTTTACTAAAACAGAAAAGCAGCAATTATCCCCAAAAATGCATGTATTACAACAGTCACTCAATAGATAGCTGCACTATTTATTTAGAAAGAGTCTGCAACGATTAAGAATTGTTTTAAAGCAATATATGGCATGCTGTTATATCATAGTTTCCCAGGGCCCCTTTCTCTGCTTACCAATAATTTATTTAGACTATTTGATGGTAAATATTATCCTTGTATAGCATTATATGGTCAGATTTACTTTTTTTTTTTTTTCTTCAAATTTCAATAGTAGTTTTCACATGCCTTTCATGCAAAGCATTCCTCTGTTTTTTTGTTTATTCCTTCCCTTTAAGTACAACAAACTGATGTTTTCCGGTCAATTAGTCAGTGATCTGCTCAGGAGGAGCCTGCAGTCAGCTGCTTAACAGACATGCCTTTTTTTAGCTGGCTAACTCTTCTTGTAAAATAGGACCCCTTTGTTGTATGACTGTGGTTTTTTTTTTATATTTCAGCTAAATTTGTCTTTCCCGTCACAGTTTTCCAGCCATCTGATTGACAGTGAACTACCATTTCATTATTTAAAAGCAGAGCTTCCTAAACTTTTCGGGTTCTGACCCACAAAATAACCCCGGAAGAGGACTGAGCGTACCTAATACATTACTTTGTGGGATAGTCAATGGGAAATTAACAAATAACCATAAAAACTCAATCAGAATCTTGCAGTTCATGTCTTAAACTTGCAGATAATACTAAACCCTGGTGGAGTTTAGTAGACTATTTTATACAAAATACCACCACACTGCAAAAAATCTAAATCTATATAAGTCATTTTGTCTTAAAATAAATGCGTTTGTTGAGGAGGTAAAAGAAAAATATTTTGCCAATGGAACAAGACAATTTACACTTAAAATAAGAAAACACAATTGCATTGTCTTATTTCAAGTGCATATTATCTAATTATCTTATTTTAAGAGTACAATTACTCATTCCATTGGCAAACTATCTCATTTACCTACTCAAATTAAGGGTGAATACACTTAATTTAAGAAATTTTTACTTATTTCTAGATTGTTTTTGCAGTGATATCCCTCAAACAAATAAAATGAACACGTTTTTTTTTGCCCCGCTTATTAATCACTCTGAATAATAGCCACTAATATTTCAGTTCTAATTTCCACCTTGTTAAGTTTTTGTTTTTCCTGGGTCTTTATATGAGACTTTAATTTGCACAAGGTAAAAAGTGAGTTGGACGAAAATAAAATTGAAATATTTTCATTTTCTTCCCTTTTTTTTTTTTTTTTGCTATTCTTGCATGCATCTGTAAGTCATTTTCTATGAGCTATGTAATTGAATTCTAAGCATGGTACAAATATTTCTGCTAACCTTAAGTACTTAATATAAAATCCTAAAATGATTAATATGATGTTTTCAAAATTTGTTGTTAATTATAAATGTGTGCACCATCTTTCCCAGTGTCTATAAATGTGTAAATTGTCCTGCAGTGGGATTCTACCTCAGCCTGAACCAGCCATGGTCGACGTGGATCTGGATACACCAGCAGCCAGAGAGGACAGTTCATCCACTATAAATGAGAAGACAACTATAGGAAAACTGTAAGTAATGAGCTGATTAGTATATATATGTATATGTGTGTATATATATATATATATATATATATATGTGTGTTGAAGAAAAATGCATAAGACAGAGTTTACTCTAACAGGTAAAATGTAAGGAATTGAAAGTTTCCTTTTTGGTGCAGTCACATGATTTTGAAGAGACGATAACAGGGAGATTATACTTACAGCCCTTCTCCTGTCTGCTAATGATGTACTTGTGACCCGGTGAAGTCATGCTGATGCAAAGGATGTTTGTGTGAGGATGGGAAATGTGTCCGTCTTCCAAACTGCTATCGTCAGTAATCACAAGTCCCTACAACTTTGATTTGAGCCCCTGTCATACATGAACCCACACTTCCAGTTACGGGCTTTTCACACCATTTCTCAAATCAAGATTCCACACTTTTCCCAACTCATATTCCCAGTTTCTCGCTTTGGAGGGAAACGGGTCTTAATGCCAGATTTTCTATGGCTGTATTCCAGACTTTTCTTCTAATTTAAAACTATAATCAGCTGCATAATAACAGGAAATGTCTAATTGTGAAACTTATCTAATAGTGGATAACCAGATTATTACAGATCTGTTACTTCCTTTACTGTAAGTGCTAGCCTTGTTGCTACCGAAATTGTACGGATAGTTTACCCAACTTTTCACATATATGTTAGACTTTCAATAAGGTTGTACACATATCGTGAGCACAGTAACAGTATTTGCAATATTCATATAGAAAAGCACTGTTTGTAGTTCAATAACTGTTTGCAAATATATATATCATTTCAATTTGCTTTATTCGTGCTAATGGGATATTTATCCAGTTTAAGTATTAGAGCAGCAGATGATCAGAATGGACGATAATATAAATAGGCTGAATTGATAAATTTCACAAAATGTTAGAAAGAGAACCTTTCTCTGTGATGGTTTTCCACGCTTCATCAGACCAAGAAGGATCAATCTGAAGCCAGACTTTCTGACTGCAGAGGAACTGTGAACAGAGGACACAGTGTGAACTAAATCTGGACTCTTTTTCTGTTTTTAGGTTTTCATTTAGGAGAAAATGAGAGGAATCTTCCAGAAGATCTCAACGTTTAAGAGACAGATGGGATTTAACTGCACAATTTTCAACCACTCTTTTAATTATTGTTTACACATACATCAGGTTAATAATCTTTTGCACTGTAGATTTTAACCGAAGATATTTTTTAGTATTACAGTGCTGCAGAAGCTGAACTACAAATATTTTAAGGTAACTGGAAAGTATTATGTTTTAATTATTCCCTTTGTACTTTTCTAAATGAAGTCTTAAAAGATGAAGATATTATGCACAGAACCAAGTAATTAAAATATGGTCACATTCAGCCAATGGCGTCAAACACAGAGATGGTTCTTTTATTGCTGGGTATTTATGCAGAATGTAAAAAAAATAAATGGATGAATACCAGCTCCCACCTTATGTATGATATTCAAAGTGAAAATAAAACCAGAATTTGTAACCGTTGATGTTCAGCGTATTGCATACAGGTGCTGGTCATAAAATTAGAATATCATGAAAAAGTAGATTGATTTCAGTAATTCCATTTAAAAAGTGAAACTTGTATATTATATTCATACATTACATACAAACTCATATATTTCAGATTTTTATTTTGTTTAATTTTGATGATTACAAATGACAACAAATGAAAATCTCAAATTCATCATATCAGAAAATGTAAATATTGTGAAAAGGTTCAAAATTGATGGCCCCTGGTGCCACACTCTAATCAGCTAATTAACTCAAACCACCTGCAAAAGCCTTTAAATGGTCTTTCAGTCTAGTTCTATAGGCTACACAATCATGGGGAAGACTGCTGACTTGACAGTTGTCCAAAAGACGACCATCGACACCTTGCACAAGGAGGGCAAGACACAAAAGGTCATCGCTAAAGAGGCTGGCTGTTCACAGAGCTCAGTGTCCAAGCACATTAATAGAGAGGCGAAGGGAAGGAAAAGATGTGGTCGAAAAAAGTGTACAAGCAAGAGAGATAACCGCACCCTGGAGAGGATTGTGAAACAAAACCCATTCAAAAATGTGGGGGAGATTCACAAAGAGTGGACTGCAGCTGGAGTGAGTGCTTCAAGAACCACCACACACAGACGTATGAAAGACATGGGTTTCTGCTGTCGCATTCCTTGTGTCAAGCCACTCTTGAACCACAGACAGCGTCAGAAGCGTCTTGCCTGGGCTAAAGAGAAACAGGACTGGACTGCTGGTGAGTGGTCCAAAGTCATGTTCTCTGATGAAAGTAAATTTTGCATTTTTCTTTGGAAATCAAGGTCCCAGAGTCTGGAGGAAAAGAAGAGAGGCACTTCATCCACGTTGCTTGAAGTCCAGTGTAAAGTTTCCACAGTCAGTGATGGTTTGGGGTGCCATGTCATCTGCTGGTGTTGGTCCATTGTGTTTTCTGAGGTCCAGGGTCAACGCAGCCACATACCAGGAAGTTTTAGAGCACTTCATGCTTCCTGCAGCTGACCAACTTTTTGGAGATGCAGATTTCATTTTCCAACAGGACTTGGCACCTGCACACAGTGCCAAAGCTACCAGTACCTGGTTGAAGGACCATGGTATCCCTGTTCTTAATTGGCCAGCAAACTCTCCTGACCTTAACCCCATAGAAAATCTATGGGGTATTGTGAAGAAGAAGATGCAATACACCAGACCCAACAATTCAGAAGAGCTAAAAGCCACTATTAGAGCAACCTGGGCTATCATAACACCTGAGCAGTGCCACAGACTGATCGACTCCATGCCACGCCGCATTGCTGCAGTAATACAGGCCAAAGGAGGCCCAACTAAATACTGAGTGCTGTACATGCTCATACTTTTCATGTTCATACTTTTCAGTTGGCCAACATTTCTATAAATCCTTTGTTTTTATTGGTCTTCAGTAATATTCTAATTTTCTGATATGATGAATTTGAGATTTTCATTTGTAATCATCAAAATTAAACAAAATAAACATCTGAAATATATGAGTTTGTATGTAATGTATGAATATAATATACAAGTTTCACTTTTTAAATGGAATTACTGAAATCAATCTACTTTTTCATGATATTCTAATTTTATGACCAGCACCTGTATGTATTCATACCTCACAAAGCAAACGTTAACCCAAAGTAGTGCATATCTGTAAGCTGAGGAACATGGATACTTGATTTTCAGACTTCATACAAATAGAAGAGTTCTTGCATGCAGTTTTAGCTTGATGCTTTAAGATTTCTCCAGAAAAAAAAATTTCTAAAGTTGGGTTAAGGTTTTAAAAAGTTTTAAACATGTTTTTGGGGATATTAGATGAAAAATAGGCTACTGCATTGTGTTGGTTTATCCTATAATATCCCAATGGAACTAAAGGCAGAAATTTAATGGGTACAGTCGAGCTACAGTGTTTGATGCTATATCCTGCATAAAAAAAAAAAACACGATTCCTATGAACTTTTTATTTCTCTGTTCAACACTTTTAATTTGTCAGATCAGTCCAGACAGTTTCTCACCTAAGTTATACGATACAAAACTTGAATATATGTACAATTTACCTCAAATGTATTCATACAGAAATAGATTTAAAAAAATTTTCAAGTTGGATTTCTACAAAGGAAATCAGAAAAGAGTAGATAAACCAATGTAGAAAGACTTAAAATATTTACTATTTCTTAAAAAAAAAAAAAAAAAAAAAGTTCCTGCCAAACTACAAGTCAACTGTAGAATAATATAAATAATCAACCCTTCTTCCAATTACTGTTTTCATTGAGATTTGGATAATTTGTAACAAGCTCCTAGTATGTGGTTGAAAGGCCTCTATTAGCACCCTAACATTTCACTCCCTCCAAAATCTCAAAATCCAGCCAGCATAGCCTGGTCTATCCGAACACAAAATTACTTCTACTTCCAAGAAACGGGTCAGTAAAACCCAAAGATCTTTAAGTGACATTAATAATTTAAGGCTGAAATGTTGTCACAGCAGGTATTTCTACAGCAGCAGCAGTCAAAGTAAAAAAGGAAATAAAAATGTGAATAGATCCGACACTGAAATAAAGATTCTGAATTAGAGGATTTTTTTTTTTTATATATCTTTCAGCATTTATAATGCTAATGTTAAAAGTAAAACTCCACTGTTCAATTCCTCTGTGTTCAATTCAGGTGTTTTATAACAGTAAGATAAGCATCCGTACCTCACAATTCATTCAGGAAAAATTTAAAACATTAAAAGCACATTTTGAAAAAAAAAACAAAAAAACACTTCAAGTGTTGCAGCTTTGAGCTTTGCTTCAGGCATGTCAAGGCAACAAAACAAAAAGGATTTTTAAAGACTTTCCATAGCTTTTTATGTACAGCTCACACATATTCCAGTGTGATCAACCTTTCAGTGTTTGAGCCAAGGGTGTGCAGAGATGGACGCTTTGCTCCGGTCACCGTAGTCGTACAACAGTTCCTCATCTATGCTGATGTCTTTGGATGCCACTAAGATCAGATGAGGCGTCCCATCGATCGGGTGGAGCCTTGTCTGGCAGTTTCCATTTTTACTGTGGTTCACCAGGCGTCCGAGACGGCCTGTTTCCTTCGTAGCATCTATGCTGTAAAGAAAAAAAACAAAAAAGAATTTAAGTTTTGATTGGCCCAGAGTTCTTATAGTCATATTGCAGTTGATTGGACCTACCAGTAGGTTTTAGTCTGGTACTGAAAGTAGTACATGTAACAGCCTGTTTTAGGGTCCTCTGCATACTGTGCTTCCCTCTTTTTGGCCTCAGCGAGTTCCAGCAGATCGCCGTGGTACTCAACAACAAAATCTCCCTTCTTAAAAGCCTTGACAGCAAATACTCCTCTTCCTTTTCCTTCTATGTGTTTAACCTGGTGACATTCAATCACTTAATTAGTCTCACACATAAAAAGGACATCTGCATAAAGTGTTTAGTTAAATTAAAGTGTCACATTACCTCCATTCCTTCCTCAGTGCCATTCTTTAGCAGGTCATCAATGTATTTGTGTTCTTCACTCTGATAATTAGATCAAACATTTACTCGAACCTACAAACATGAAAAATGACTTCATCATCGCCATTTTCCCCCATACGAACCTTTATCTCCGTTTTAGTTTTTCTGTTACTTCTCCTGACGGGAAAATAATCTGTGACCTTCTTGTTTTGGAGAGCTTTCTTCTCTGTCCTGCAAGGAAAAAGAGAGGGACATTGTTAATGTTCAGCCAGCTTAGAAAGAGCATCGGCATCTTGTCAAGTGATGACATGATGAACTCACTTCTTTGCTCCAGGCCTCCAGACGTTTTTACTGCGAGGCTTGGCTGCCGGAACCCCAGGATCTGTTGCAGGCTTGTCTTCTGATTTGGCGCTAGACCCTTTTTGTGGAAGTTTATCGGTGTCTGTTTTTTTAGCCTCGCTTTGGCACGGCCCAACAGGTTTCTGCTCTTTGGAGCTGCAGCTCTCAGATTTGGCTTTACTGGTTGTATCTGAATGGAGAAAAAGAGGATAAGAGAACCTGCTTTAGAGAAAGTTTTAACGGCATTCATAGGCCTTTGAAGTTTTTTGATATTTTATAACAAATTGATCATTTAGCTCCATCCATCTTTTCATCAACTCTGACTAGCATTTCCATCATTGCTAAAAGGAAGCATCCTCGCCCCTAGCATCCGCTGTTGTGTATGTAGTAAGTTCCTGCAAAGTGTTTCTGACATACTCTTTCCACATGAAGGCCACATTTACAGTAAATTCAGCCTATAGTTGCCCTCTCACCTGAGCTGTCAATTTCTGCAGCTCCTCCAGAGTTACAAAGTCTCCATGGCATCTTTATTTAACAATCCCTCTGCTTTTTATCTTCAACAAAACTCAGAGGTTCCCAGAAAAACTGATAAGTAAAAAAAAAAAAAAAATCAACTTGTTCTAATAATTAGATTTACTTCTAAATGTAAATGATTCATATAAATTTTAATTACAGATATTAATTGTACAGGGTTTATACAGGAATTAATAACTTGAATTAAATGCTTTTAAATGCTCTTTTAATGCTCTTAGAAATAATTTTAATGCCACCAACAGGTACCCGTCAACAGGATGCAGCCAGGTCCCGAATTCCTCATTTTCCAGCCACTTTTGTTGAAATTAGCTTTTTTTCCCCCCATTCTCTAACTTTTTCTCCAACTCAAGGTTCTTTTCTGAACATACAGCTTTGAGATCAACCGGAAGCAGTTCAATATAAATATATCGTGATATAATATGTCTGAGGAAATTGTTTTTATATACATTTTTCTTAATAAAGCATTTTAAATGCCACAATAAACACATGAATTTTAATGCCAATTAAAGCCTTAATTTAAAGAATAATAATCTAATGACTTTTAATGATTTTTATTGAACCGCGGAAACCATGTTGTATTGGGATTGAATACAACATAGTTTTCCAATTTTAATCTGTATGCACTAATCCATTTTAGTTTATAATCTAAAGAAAAATACCTTGTTAGTGGTTGTAATATGAGAAAATGCAGAAAAGGTCTTGTATCAAGAAAACATTACAAAGTTGCCATGTTGCTCCTTTGTTCCTCATTTTAAAAGTGGTAAAGTTTCAATTTAAATGCTCACCTTGCTTTATTTTCGCTGGATCAGGATTCGCTGCATCAGAATCATTCCCCTCCTGAATCAGCATACCGGAACTGTCACTCAGTGGAGATCTAGGTTTTCCTGGAACACGCAGACCTTGGAGAACCGCTTTCCCCACAGATTCCTTCAAAAATAGAGAACAATAATATTTAGATAAAATACAACTCAAAGTCCTAAGACTTACATACTTGTACCTGGGTGTTTTTAAACAGAAACCTCGTAGGACATATCTGTAACCCGAGTTACAATAATGTTTTTTATTATTCCTTTCTAGCTGTGGAATTTTTTTATTTTTTATTTTTGTTCCTAGTTGGTAAGAATCTGATATTTAGGAATTATTTTTGATCCTTTTTCTAAAGCGCAACAAAAAAATGGGGTGCAAACCCTTCAGTGCTAATAAACAGCAGTGCAAAGTCTAGAGGAAAAATAAAAACAGAGCAGCAAGTGTGTATAAAAAAGATCCTTAAGTACCAGACCATCTATATCTTATCAAAAACAAATTTCTACACCCAATTCTTGCTTTACTATAATAATAGATAATAAAAGGCAATTAATTTACATTACACTATAATTTAGAAATTACATATGTTCAAATTGATGAGTTTAAAACAAACTTTCAATTCTGTAAATGCAATTTTCTAAAACACAGGCCTTATACTGGTGAGTTGCAGTACAGGACAAATTATTTAGAAAGTATTAGTGTGTTCAGGTAAGATTAACTAAAAAACTGGTCTTGTAAAAAGAAAATAGATTAAATGATTCTTTACACACTTTTCATGCAAGTTGATGGATTATATTACTATTAGCTGACACATACCTGGGTAGTTTGTGGTTCGTTCTCCTTTGTTTCCGCCTGTGAGCTGGTCGTGTTTTCAGCAATCTCTCCTGGTGTTTTGCTCATTTTCAGCACATTTTTCTTCCCTTTATAAACATGGGAATATTCACACAGAGCCATTTTAATTCAAACTCACACAAACCTGTAGAGAATTTGCTGGTGTTTCCCCTCCTTTTTTAAGGAAAATTAACATTCGCAGCTGGCTACACCGTTTTCTCTATTTAACGTTAACTCCCAGCTGTATTCTAAAGCAACAACTAATGAAGAAATTAACCTTTTGCCATCTCAAAGAAATCTTCCAAAAGCGACGCTATTCCTTATGAGACGCCGAGTTCTTTATTTTGTTGTAGCTGCAGAAATAAAAAAAAATAATTAATAAAATGAAAATAACAAGACACTCATGAAGCTCAACACGCCGTCAGGGTGGAAGGATTTAAAAATACTCCTGCGTCTTTCATTGGCTGTATTGTTAATAAAGGCGGAGCGCGTGCGTCACATCCGCCACCAGATTGGCTGCGGCATCTTCTAACGCTCAAAAGGTCTGTTGGCTAAAAACAATGTTTGCAAATTAATTAAGTAAATAAAAAGTAAAAACTACCCACTAATAACATAAGTAACTTTTGTTTCGTTACTTTAACTATCGTGTGTTACCAGAATGTGACAAACAGTAAACATTTAATTTGGACTTCTAAAAGAAGCATAATCAACAGGCATTTAGCTTTTACTGACATCTAGTGGTGAAGGAGAGTTAGTGCTCTGTAAAAGTTAAATTACTCTATGTTCCCTTTATATTAGCAGATAGATTATATAATAGTATAGAAGCAAAAAAAGGTAATAACATGATGACAAAAAATGTTTTACAAATCTTTAGAAATAATTTATTGTGATTTTTACAAGAAAATTAAAATACATTTCGCTCTCCACATAAACATTAAACTGCATCATCTTCAGGTTTATTGTGTATATGTCTGTCTGCAGCCAAGGTTTTTTTTAAAAGTCTTTTCCGCTCCAAGTTCTCATTCACCCTCTTTCGTTTTTCTTGTTTCCTCAATTCAGATTCTTTCTTCTTTACCATCACTTCGCTCAGTTCTCCCTTATATGCCACATCAAGCCTCTCCCTCATTATTTCCCGGGCGCGCTTTCGGTTTATATCCACAGATCTTGTCTGGTGACACTGCAGGGAAAGAAAGGATAAAAGGCAATGCAAGAATAAAAACAAAAATGTAGTTTTAGTTTTAAGTGCCCCAAACAATCAGTTGATAATATAGCAGTTCTTTTCTTGACATTTATATTTATATTTCACATGGAGAAAATCCGGTTGCAATACAACGTGACCAATAAATTCTTTAATGCTTTTTCACCATCCTTTTTTCATGCACACTAGTTTGGGTTTGGTTATTATTTTGACTTAAGCATGGGATAAAAATATGACACTTCAGTCACCATTGAGGATAATAATATTTTTTCCAGGGAGACCTGTAAAAACTAAACAAAAAAATACAACAGTAAAATTTTGTTTGGCAAAATGAGGAAAAAAGTTTTGACTTCCTTAGAGAAAACTTTAAAGCTATCACGTATAAGAGCATGCTACATGAAACATATAAAATATGTCTGTTTTATTTACTCAGATTTCTTAAAGGTCTCTTTTCTGGGCTGGGTGTAGAGGGGTTTTATCAAACATAACATGCAAATCTTAGGTGAAAACTACTTGAATGAAAAAATGGCTTTATTGTTAAATTAGAGTGAAACAGTACAATGGAATCAGTGTCTCTCCTATAAGTTTTTATAAGTAAACCTAAAAAACTTAATCGCATATTCTATGCAAAGATAAATATAAAAGCAGCAGCAGCAGATATAAACAAGTCAATTAGAACTCTGATTAAAGTCAAACTGCTGTTTATGCAGAAATCCTCCACTCAATCTGTGATAGCCGGACCTCACTACTATTCATAACAATGCACGTGACATTGCAATCATAATTAATAAAAATGTATTATTAGAAGCTTCATATTAAAAAAAGAAAATAATAATAATAATGATAAATCTAGGGTTAGAACGGAAGGTGAAAGTTCTTTTTTACTGACATAAGGAGAGCTTCCACGTTTCCTCAGAATACGAATCTACCTGTTTTAGTTCTACAATGGCAAAGAAAATATTAGACACAATCTATTAATTCACAGTTTAAACCAGCTCTGTTGAAAACCTTTGATTCTTATCTATAACACATTTCTGCTACATTTAGAGGTAGGCAGATAAACTGTAGATATAGGAATACATATAAGTGCTAGTTTGCTTGTTAAAAGGAATTTATAGGTGTTCTTTATTATAAAGGACTGGAGCAAGAGCTATATTGTGTAGCTAAATAGGAATCTGCATTCTAATGTTTATTACAGGCAATATACAGAAAGAAATGCCTTTTTTCATTTATATATTTTCTCTAACAAAGTCAAAGTCCCTACTTTGGAAAAACATACTTTTGATATAATAGGTAAATACCTAATTATTAACTTTTTTTTTAAATCAAATTCAACAAGACTGAAAAGGACAGGCATACTTTCATTGTACTAGTTTTACATTTTAAGGCAATTAGGAAACGGTGTAAATGTGCACTTAAGTTAACAATTATCAGATGTTAGTGATAATATTGTCTAGATAGATAAATTAAACCCTGAATGACAGATTACAACAGCTGAGCCTTAAAAGTGTTTTTTGCTGATGTAAATACGTGATAAAAACAACAGTTATTTGTTTGAAAATACAGGGGTCCAGCTGTACCTTCACAACAATCCCGGTGGGGATGTGTTTGAGCACCACACAGTTGCTGGTTTTGTTAGTAGCTTGACCTCCAGGCCCAGATCCCCTCACAAACTGCTCCTCCAGCTCCTCCTCCAGGAGCACCGGAAGATCCGGGAGCTCCTTCTTACCAGCAGCCGCAACCCATGAGGGCGCAGGCGGGGTCAGCGGGGGGAGACCCGGAGCAGATCTCCGCGCCAGCCGCCCGGTTACTGTCAGCAAGCAGCGGGTGAACGGGATAAGCAATGACATCTCATCACGATTTGTAACAAACCCAAGATAAAAAAACGAATCGTTCCGGTTTTCGGAGCGAAGAGGGAGTATTTTCACCACCTCAGTGTGGAGCTCATCTTCCGCTTTGTTTACTTAAACAGCCGTCCAATCAGCGGGCTTGACTGTTCTTCTTCGATCCCATAATTACAGCATTGCTGACTCCACAGCACCACCGTGTGTTCAATTATGGAACAGATCAAAATTAGACTATTCATAATATCCATGAGTAGTTGAAACTATAGCTCAAATAGCTCAAATGTGTTGAGTAAGTTAGTGTAACATACTCCTGTTGTTTAAGTACATTTAACTCAAACCTCTGGATTAATCAGATTTATTTTAATCCAATCCACTTTATTTATATAGCACATTTAACAACAGAAAAAAGTCTGTGCTGTACATAACAAATAATAAACAACAACACAACAATGCACAAACACAATACAACAATAAATCTACTAAAAAGGATACAGAGGACCACACAAACTACACGTTGTTAAAGGCCAAAGAGTAAAAGTGGGTCTTAAGACGAGACTTAAAACACTCCACCGTAGAGGCAGTCATATATGGAGGAGCAAAGTATTCCAAAGTCTGGGGCCAACTACAGAAAAGGGTCTGTCCCCTCTGGTTTTAAGCCTCGTCTTAGGCACTATTAACTGAAGATGGCCCTCAGACCTCAGAGCACGTGCCGGAGAATAAATCTTGAGGAGGTCAGTGATGTATTGAGGAGCAATCCCATTCAGGGCCCTAGACGCAAACAATACAATCTTAAGATCAATTCTAAAATGAACAGGGAGCCAGTGCAAAGACTACTTGTATTTGTGTACTAATTAAACACAACTTAAAACACTTAATTAAATTAACTATAATAAGGAAGCACTGGTGCAGATTTTAACAATAAAAGCCCTTTGGCCGACTAGCATCGCAACACCATGAGTGAGGTTGCTGTTAGATTTAAACATGCCTGTTTTGTTACATATGTCAATAGGCTTCTATGTTGTATGAATAAGATTGATATATAATGCAAGATGGTGAAATGATAGTTATATGACCAATCTAACATATATAATATTACCGAGTCATGAGAGTGAATTATCTGATAGTTCATGAGAGTGAATTATCTGATAATGCGAGATATTAAGGTTTTCAGTTCCAAAGAAATTCATGAAATTATTGCTTCAACATTTTGGAGTTCTGGTAGCCACAGTGTAACTAAACAAATAGTGATGCACTCGTGGTCTGTTCTGTACTGTTGTTTCAGATAACAATTTTTTGTTAGAAATGCATCAACCACAAAGACAATTTAAGTTCATTTTAAAAAATTTTTTGTGAAATTCTGTAAAAAAACAAAAAACAGGTTTTGCTGTTGATTTGGAAAACAGTTTTCGAACTCAACATGATTAAAAATAATGGTGAGTGGTTCAGAAACTGCAGTAAGGATGTATTTTGGCCTGCTTATCTGTGAACGCTGCAGAGGTTTGCTAATGAGCAATTACACAATTTAGTTAATTTTTATAGCTCAAAATAATAATTGTCTCAAGGCACAAAACAATATCAAGTTTATACCAAAAAAGGTAGTCAATTGAAACCGATCATGTGGACAGATCAAAAACAATCACATATTCCTGCTTGATCCCAGCTGTTAACTAATGCAGTCAAGTTTGTTACTTAAGAGAATATATCAAAAATAAATCTATCCGAGGAATCTGCTGTCTGAAGGACATCACTAACTTTGCAGGATTAAATATATATATATATATACATATATTGTATGTTTTTGTGGCCCTCTTTCTTAGGAAGTAATATCCATGCATATTGGAGCCTACTAAATATTCAGTTCCTTGTCATTGCGTACTGAGTAATACAGGGTAAATGTCATGGTTAAAGTATATAAAACCCATAAGAAGTCAGGTTTTATATGTAGGTTTGATGATTTGAGTACATGATGAAAACTCAGCAAATATGTAAAAGAAGCTGTTCTGATTTGGTTAGACCACAGCTGATCTTTCTAGCCATCTTGCAAAACAAAATCAGTACAATGATTAAACAACACCGTGGAGTTATTGTACTTTCCTCATCAGCAACAGATGAGCAAGCACTTTTTTTAAACTATGTTGTTTATGCATTTTCATATTATTTTAGTTGAGACATATAATAATAATAATAATAATAATAATAATAATAATAATAATAATAATAATAATAATAATTATTATTATTATTATTATTATTATTATTATTATTATTATTATTATTATTATTATTATTATTATTATAAAACAACTATTAAATGTATATGGCCATTGTCTATTTCAGAAAAGGCACTTTGCTTAACAGTAGGTTTTAGTTCTGTTTTCCGCCTGCACATTAATGGACTCTGATGTAGTGCTTCCTGTTCCTCACTAACAATAAATAGAATTAGTACATCAGGAAATAGGTCACAGGGAAAGGCTGTTACTGATGACCTGTGATGACATCTGTCTAACCCTGTGGAAGGAAGACTTACTTATGTGATCGTTTTTTGTCTGTCTGTCTGTCTGTCTGTCTTTCGCAGCTGTGAGCAGATGCTTATGATCTACCAGTGACGATTGTTGTGGCTGAATAGGTATGGCCAAGGTGTATCTGGAGGTGGATGTTTACAGTTTGTTTCCTGTTATAGAGATTCCTTTAACACTTTGTTATTCCAGAGGCTTCTAACGATCTAAACCTGAAAAGACCACTAACTGTCGGTTTGAAATGTTGTGAACTAGGTCAAATTTAAGCCATTTGATTTTTGTGGCTAATAGACTGAAAATGATTTCCTGTCTAGCATATCTCCATCCTTTTTCTGTCTTTCAAGCTTTTACTTAGACTGAGGTAATTTGCAACATCTTTGTATTTTACCTCAGATAATTATGTTATTTCTAAGTTAAGTTTCAGGATCCCGATTTTATAATAAAGTTTATATTCTCATGGATTTCAGCAATGTATACTCACTTGTAAAGAAAACAATTTATAGCCTAAGTACAAGACTACTCAAATTTGTTTTATGGATCTGCTTTTTTTGTGTGTTTTTTAAAATAAAATTAGGCAACATCTTTTCTTTATTCCATCATATTCAATAAGAATATAAATAGATGTTTAATCATCCCACAGTTCAAAATCTTAACTGACATGATGCTTTGCCCTGAGATGGACTGGTGACCTGTCCAGGATCAGCTTTGCCTTTTACCCATAGATCCTTTCAGCAGAATGGTTGGGTGATTACTTTACGTCATTGTCACACTTTTGTCACTCGATATAAATGTCCCCCAGTAACTTCATAAACTCTGTGTGTACGGAAATGCGTTACCACTTGGTTTTTGACCAAAATATTTTATTGCCAGCAGAGGGCGCGCTAGTAACAAGCACTTGCTGGTTGTCAAGTATGCGTAGAAACACACATACCGGAAACATTGTTGGAAATCCTTTCAAAGTAAAACACAAAATATTTTTATTTTTTCTTTATTGTTGGCCTTCAACCGAACGTATCGGCAACTATGCAGGTGAGAAACTTTAAAGAGGGAACTTTAATGGAAATTTAGTTCTATGCTGTGTCTTAAACTTACACAGAAGTGCACTTGACTTTTAACTTGGAACCCTTACCGGAAGTGATGCGCTCATACTTCTAGGATTGAGTTATGTGTCGTGCTTGAGGAGACTGAAGTCTAAACAGCGGTTCAGACTTAAGGGGACTGACAAGTTACGATGGTGAGGGCTCCTCATCCGTCTTTTCGTCGCCTTTCCCGGTTCTCTGGACGGAAGGAGCAGCTACGGGCCTGAGCCCACCTCTATCTGCATTTCCTCCTCACAGGTCAAAGCCCCACTCAGCAACTCAGCAGGACCCTAGCGTAGATACTCCAAGGACATTTTAACGTTTCCACAGCTATTTCGGCCTTTTCTTTCCGATTAAGGAAATCCAGCGTGTTGCTCTCCAGCGCAATGATGTGGACAGATTTAGTAAACAGGAGGAGCAGAAACTGCGGCTGCTTTCATGCAGCCCACTCCCAGTGCTGAGGATGTGTCTCTCCGTGTCATTTTTGAAAACGTCGTTTTTCAAGCAGACGGAGGAGCGAGCGAACGGAAATTGACCGCCGACTTTCGATGCGCTCCGTTCGGCCATGGCATCGCTCAGGTCGGAGGCTGTCTCTTGCTGAAGAGACACATCAGTGGAAGAAGGCCATAAAAGCCAGAGGAGAGGCTGATGAACTTTAAATTGTGCTGCTGAGTGTGCTGGAGACAGAGGTGCACCGGGTTCAGGTATGTTTTCAGCTTTGTCAGCCATCAGTTTTGCCTTTTTCCCGCTGCCATGTTGCTAGGTAACTAAGAGACGGTGGGTTTACTTCAGTTCATCTTCTCAGGGATGTAACGCCACCTGTGATGAATCTTATTTTTTGACAAAGTCGTGCATTTCAAACGTGTTGTGCTTTGCTCTGCAGCAGAGGTGTTTCACACCAACTTTGCATGCAGAATCCATGAGCCTGTTGCTCTGGATCAGGAGGTGTTCAGGATTCCCTCACTGTTAGATTGACTAATCTTATCATGCATATGGTTTAAGATGCGATCCCAAAGAACTGGTCCCTAACAGTAGATGTTTTCAGTTTACATTTATGCAGAAACAGCTCTTATCAACTGTCTCATTTGTGTTTGGCTGTTAAATTTCAGGTTACAAACATTCAAACTGTGCATGCAAATAAGGTATTTAAGCCACAAAATATTCTGGAGTACTGGTAAAATATTGCAATATTATGTTTTCCTTATATTATTAGCCCTAAAATAAAAGAAAATTCTGCCACATACATGCCTATTCATGCCTGGGGTCAATTCGACAAATAATGCAGTTTATGAAGAGAATTGCAGACACTATTCTCTATTGAAGGAGGGCTAGCTGACTGCCTCCAGCCTTTAACTTCTTAGCCATTTTAAGCAAGTATGTGGTGACAGAGGGGGAAAAAACCTCAAGCAAAAACCATCTCTGTTTGAAGTCTGACTGAGGACCACGAGGACAGAGCAGCAGTGGTGTCAAAAGTGCACGCGTTACTTAAGTAGCAGTATAGATACTGCAGTTTAAAAACACTCTGGTAAAAGTGGAAGTATCAACTTGACCTCTTTACTCAAACAAAAGTGAAAAACTATGTGCTCCAAAAACTACTTAAAGTATAAAGTAACCTTTAAAAAAACAGCAAGATGTCACTATATGAATTGAAAGCTCAATTTTTTGATTATTTGGAAAAATTCTTTGAAATAGGGCCAAGGATGAGGGAGGTCTTGTTTGTCTCTATCTTCATCTCCTGATACGCTCTCGCCTGTGTCTGACTTTTCAGACATTTCAACATCTTTTCTAAATCCTACATTGCAGCATGGCATAGACAATTCATGTTTGCAGTTTGAAGAACACCTGCTTGCTTCTGATGATTTCCTTTAGCTAACCAATGAGTATTTGTGTTCTATGACTCATCCAATTACACTAGTTTTCACTAGATGTGGATGGCGCCAATGATCTGCATTGGATGGAGCACATGACGGGAAATAAATATTTGTAAACATTAAACCGAAGCCAATAGTAACGAGTAACGTTTGTTTTAAAAATGTAAGGAATAAAAAGTACAGATACTTGTGGGAAAATGTAATTAGTAGAAGCATGGGCGTAGGTTTGCATAGGGACCATAGGGACATGTCCCTACCAAAATTTTGAACCGACCTAATTGTCCCTACCAATAATTGGATGTGAGCAACATGTTTATAATTTCCAGCAGTAGTTGTTGCAGCAGTGGCTTCTTTTCCTCTCGCTGCTCCTCTGCCTGGTCTCTCCTGTCCCTTTCATGTAGCAGCGCATGGAACTGTGCTGCGCTGTTTAACTCAACTCTCATTGGTTGTTCTGCCTTAAGTTCCGCCTTCTCTCTCTCTGATTGGCTGTTTTCTAGTCCGCGTGTGCTTGGAGCACAACATTAGAATGCAGCGGTTACTACAATTAATATTAGGCTACAAAACTAGTCCCAATAAAAAAAATGGATATCATGTACACTAAAAAACAAAAACCTTTTTTTTTCTTTTATAAAACGAAATATTCTGAGTCAGCCAGGAGTTCTGAAGACTGCTGGAAAAATGGGCAAATAAAGGCTGTAAGCCATCAACATTTCTGATTCTTAGCCACAGCCAACTAAAAAAGAAAATGTGAGGGTTTCCTTTTTACCGATATTAAGTTGATATCACTGTTTTCATTTTTTTTGTTTTTATTTTTACAATTTTGATATAATAACTGATCTAAGTGGGTTGCTCTGTGGGGAAAGGCACATTTTACATTTATATTACCGGTACTGTATGTTTTAAAGTCTCTATACTCCAGTTAATGATGAATCACTTACTAAATTAGTTGACGATTATTGAAATAATCAATTAATATGATAAATTTTTTCCAGCCCCAGATAAAATACATGAAATTGGCTACACAGAGTAACTACAGCCCAGATGTTCAACTTTTATAGTGAAGTTAATATTTTAATGAATATATTATTTTGCTTGATACAGAGAGAGCATGGTAGGTACAAATATTAGAGTGGGGTTTAACTCTGCACAATTCTATATCTTCAAAAGAAAATACTGTTTTTACCTTCTCTTAGTCGTTCAAATGAAACCGTTTTCAAAGTGGAAAACAGTCCTAATTCCACATTCATCAGAGCCGGTGATACTTCAAACATTGATAAACAGCCTCTAATGAGTGTAGAGCTTATAACATTTTTATTAATGGAGCAAAATGTTGCTTTTCTCTTTTAACAATGAATTCCTCTTATAAGTACGGATGCTCACATCCAGCATAAAAAAGGGCATATTGCATAGCACCAATGACACCAGACCAATAGTGTCCCTACCAAAGTTCAAATCAAACCTACGCCCTTGAGTAGAAGTCAGAAGTAGGAAGAAATATTAGTGATGGAGTAAAGTATAGATACCTAAAAAGTGCACTTAAGTACAGTAACGAAGTATTTGTACTTAGTTACTTGGCACCTCTGCAGAGCAGATGGAACTCTGAGGTACTTGGTCCATTCCGTTTGTCCTCACAAGTGGAAATGTCTGACTATAAAGTGGAATATTTCAACTGGAATCCCCAGAACGTCAAAAATAAGTGTCGGAAAGTTGGTGCGACAGGACGGTACCCGACTCCCGCACTCAAGATGGATGATACTTGTATCATTAGCAGTTAGATTGAGTTAGTTGTAGCAGTTCTTCAGTGTGCATGCAGCATTTAGTCTGTCAATAAAGGGAAATCAATATTTTTCAGTGTAAATCGCACATTGTTTTGGTTGTAAAAGGGAACATATCTACAAGCAGACAACCGGAACGCATTTACTTCAGAGATCATGTCACTCCATCCAAGGATAATAGGACGCACCAACTGGTCCAGTTTTACCATCCGAGAAAAAGGAAAACTGATCTCCACAGAGATCATGGCAGCAGTAGCCTCATTAGTGCTCTATTAAGAATGGCTAAACTGGGAAGTGTTGAGTTAGTGGGATCATATATGGTGAAGAAAAGAGAAGAAGATCGGTTAATGAAGAAGCTCTTTCAGTGTCTCTTTTCCCCAGCATATAGACAAGGTTAGATAGTGTATCAGTTGGAGAATGAGCATAAAGTCTGGTGTTTGATTTTTGCATCAAGCTGAGTAATTGTTTGCATACCGTCTATAAATATAATATATCTGAGAAATGAGCCAGTTTTCCCTCCATGGTGGAGCTGCAGCCCTATAATTCATTTAGTTATTTGTGGGGTCTTTTTTTTCGTGCGTCTTTATAGTCTTTTTGTGCCTCTTTGGGTAGTTGTTTTCTTCCTCTTCATATTCCTGCTTTTTCTTTGGCTTTTTATCATCGGGGCTGCAAACCTAGAAGTATTTATAGTCAGAACGGTATTAGCATTGCAGAGAACCGCTTGGATTCAGTGAATATTCACCGGATTTTTAAGAAGTATCTCTGCTCTCTGTCTGGTTTTTAATGAAACCTAAGCAGACTGACATTAATACTGAAGATTTAAGGATTTTAATCTTTTTATGGAAAGTCATGTTGCAGCATTAATGTTATTCAGAAGTAGAGCAGCGCTGATCAGCAGCTGATTTCCAGCAATTTGTTGCTAAATAGTCTAACACCTTACAAGTATCTCAGCTGTTTCTACTCAACCTTTTTCTTTCTCAATATGAAACCTTCTAGCAGAGCAAAGTATTTTTGTTTTGAAAGTGGTTAATAAATACAGAGGAGATATAATTAGATTCCTGGTTGTTGATGGTGGTTAAAAGGCCTCAAACTGCACTGAAGCAGCTCTGTGTTCAGTACTTTAACTAGGGCTGCCAAATGAATGCTGTGGATGGTATTTGGCTTCATGTCATGATCTTTTCTACCTGATCTGTGCTTTTCTCTGGAAGCCTACATAGTGACACATATATTTGAGACTTTATGGAAAACCCTGCTATATATAACAGCATGTTTGACAGGTCAGAGACTCGCTCACTGATCTACTGTTTCTCCAGGAAAGGAAAGCCTGAGCATAGAATGCAGTCAGTGGTGTTTTTGTACACTAAGAACCTGCACAACAACCATTTCTTGGTGCATACCTGAGGCCTATTTTTGTTCCAGTATGAGTTTGTAGATTCTTGCATAAAGAGTCCCTGTGCTTGACTCAGCAGGGCCCGGGTGAGTCATTGAAGCAGCGCTGACTCGCAGGCTGTGGCGTCTGTTGTCCAGATGATGGCTGTTCCATGAGGGCAGGAGCGGCTGCACCTTATTGCTCCGCTGTCACCTTTTGCTTCCCACTCAGCACCTCTGCAGGTCTTTGAATGACGATTAAAACATTTCTAACTGCAGTCTTGAATGGAAATAGGCTATGCTGCCGAAATAATATTACTGCTAGAACTCTGTGAAAATCTGCTGTTGAAAATATGGTTGAGACAGAAATTTAGAGCATGCAAACCAAAAGAGGTAATTTTGTGGGCCGGTACAGCTGTGAATCGAGAGTGTGAGTTTTGTTTTGACTTGTTAAAACTTGAATCCTCGCTTTTAGAAGACATAATGTCTATAGCCTCAGAGCCCTGCTGTAGCCTTTCTATATTTATTGTTTTTTTTTTTTTTTCCTTTTTAGGTCAGATCAAATTTCAGCTCCTGTTTTTCTACTGCAAAGGGATCTTTTTTATAGAAAAATACCCCCTGTAATTTAAGATTTTGCAAATATTTATCTATACTTTTTTTATTTCATCCTGTTTGTTGCAAAGAGAAACA